GTCCAAAGGCTAACAGGCTAAGCTGAGGTTCTTCTTCCATGATTAACTTCATTTCTGAACATTTATGGTTTGATTTCTTTGTATGTATGGATCACTTGGGTTGTTACCGACATCTGGTGAAAATTTCATGTCATTAGCACCTCTAGTAATATATTTACTGAGAAAATGTTGACGTGTTCAATACTTATTTTTCCCGCTCTGTCAAGTTAGTCCTTCAAATCACATTTTACTTCCTGACAACGGTGCTGCCCAAATTAAGTATAGACTTTAGATCTTCAGAACTCACCGCCACTGACAAAAGCAACGTTAATGTCAGCATTTTTACATTTCCTCCGGTGAAACTTAAGCAGAGCAACATTTGACCAGAGCTTCAGTGCTGCCCTGAACACTCTGTTGATCTGTGGAGCTGGGAACGGGAGGTGTTCATCTGGAATCCTGTAAATTAAATATTATTTATTCATTCAATTGATTTACAGTGAAATAACATGTCGTATATATTCAAACAGTCCAATAAAAATGTAAATAATCTGAACATATTAACAGAGAATTTATCAATTATTGTTGTTTGTTGTCTGTTTATTTAAGAAGGGACAGTGCATATTACAGAAAATGCCACAATTAGCCATGGAGGCTAGTTTTCATCTGTAGTCCCTCAAGGTCCTATGGATATAAATACAACACATACAAATCAACAAGTTACTTTCATTTTTAAAAAATCCTAAAAACATAACAAAAAGCATGATTAAAAATAATAAAAAGCCATTTAGCACAACAACAACAATTGAAGGTAAGACATTAAAATACAAAATGGATAAAAGGATCCCATACTCAGTGTCTTCACAGTAGATTATCCAGGAGCCATGATTTTAAGGCATTTAAGAATAATTTGAAGGATCCACTGGTTCTTATGCTTTCTGGTATTTTATTCCAGTCAAGTGAAGCTTTTACTGAAAAATAATTCTGACCAAATGTACTTCATCTAAGAGATACAGCAAGATCTCCTCTTACAGTAGCTCTGGTGGTCCTTACCGACAACAACGTGACAGGAGCTTCAAGTGGAGGAGGTGCAAGACCATGCAGAATTTTAAAAAACAGACAAATAACATTCAGTTTTGTTTTCTACTGACGTGGCAAAAAAAGAAGAAGAAAAAAAAAACTGACAAATAATTACAAACGTAATCATATTTTCCCGACTCAACAAATGATGTTTTGTTAAAATCTTACAACGATGGTACCCTACAGATTTTTTCTTTAAGATCTTTAATGTCTGTTTATAAAGTATCTCCACAGGCTTTAGGGTTGATGAGTTTGCCTGTCCCCAACTTGTTAAACAGTAAGTGATGTGAGAAAATACATGATCATAGCATTCATAAATATATTTGCAGCCGAATTAGTCAAACAGTATCTTATATGCCTAAAATTTGCTAAGTTAAATTTAAGTATTATCTGACTGTCAGGTACAGCCCAGGCAAATTKTCACTCTTTACCAGTCAATCAATAACTTTCAGGCATCCTGAATCATCAGAACCTGTTTCTGTAGTTTATAAATTCTCTGTCAGTTCTCTGTAGTTTCTCAGTTGTTTCTCTGTAATTTGTTCTTTCTCTGTAGTTTCTCTGTACAGTTTCTCTATAGTTTTTCTGTCATTTCTCTGTCAGTATTTATTGGTTTGTCTATAGTTTCTCTTTACTTTTTCTATAGGTTGCCTATAGTTTTTTTCAAAAGTTATTTTATAGTTTTTCTACAGTTTTTCTATAGTTTTTTTCTGTAGTTTCTGTCAAATTTTATTGGTTTGTCTATAGTTTTCTATACTTTGTAGCTTCTCTATCGATTTTTATTAGTTTGTCTATGGTTTTTCAAATGTTTTTCTATAGTTTTTTTCTGTAGTTTCTGTCAAATTTTATTGGTTTGTCTATAGT